AAAAAAAAATCGATATAATAGGCAAATTTTTAAATGTTTTACATTGACACAGATCAAAAAGCCTTTAATAAATCGCAAGAAATTTAAATTAAACGTGAATTTTTTTAATCAAAACATAGCTCAGAAAGTGATTCATTCAATTTAATCGAACAAAATGATAACTGCTTAATATTTATGGACTAATATCTTTAAAATTATTGAAAAAAATATATATTTTATTTTACTTATTTAAATCTTTCTTTCATCAATTCTGAGATTCAAATAATGCATTTTAATCGCACTTTCCGACACATTAATTTTCTATTTTTCTTTTCTAAAGAGACAATTAAGCATCAGAAAATTTTAGGAAATTTCAAAGACAGAGAATCACCATTTGCTAATTCATAATCTTATTATTAATGCACAACACTATCAAAATGATTAAGTTTATGTTTAAAATTCATTTAAGGTTTAAACTCGACCAAGATTGAAATATTCAAAACAGTAATTATTCGACGACAAATATGAATTTTCTTTATAACAAAACGGCAAAACATTTCTTAAATTTATGACGATAAAATAATGATAAATAATGAAATAAATTTGTTCGTTTTGTATTTTAAATTACATTCACATAATACAGAACTTTAATAAGATGAACTCGTGTATTTTGTCTTATTTGTAATCAGGATTAAAATTTGGTTTAGTGTATTTAGAAAGATTAAAGTTTAATCTAACGTCACCCGTTTCAATTCATTTCAAAGTTTAACTCTACGTTTCTCTTTACAGTTAACTTTATTTTATATTTCTAACCGCTTGAATTTCAATTTAATTATGTTGTTTTATTAATCATTTTTTTAAAAAAAACTTAATAAACTTTAAAATTATTTTAAAAAATCTAGTTTAAGAATTAGTTTTTAAATACACGTCACTCATAGAAAATTGCTTCCAGCTATAAATAAAACAATCCTACGTATAAAAAGAAACAAAAAAATATATATAAAATATTTCGATCAATATAGGAATAGGAAAATATTTCTATTTAAGATTATTTCCATTGGACGACACATGACAGACATCAAGAAAAGCAATCGTGCTATCACGTTGGTCCTGTCATGTGTTACTCCTCTTATATATATAGGCTACTCGCTATATTGATAAAAGGAAATGTCAACAACTTAAACGAAGCTTAACTCTTTTTCGATAAGAATGTGATCTCTATTATATATATATATATATATATATATATCAACAATAGTTTATTCTTTTTCTTTATCGAATTTATTATAAGAAGTCAACAAATTCAACAAAACGTAAATATCATTTTTCTCAAAAAAACAAACGAGATATCATTTTCAAGATCTTTATTGTTTGTTAAATGCGAATTTTCTTTCATATTCATAAACACTTAATCTTTTATTCAGATATTTTAAAGAATTTTTTCACTTTGACGTAAAAAATATAAATATTAAATATATTCATTTCTTTTATTGTAAATATCAAAACTATATTTCGACATAAAGTTACTTTGCATAAATATTTTATATTACATTTAATTATAAATCAATATATATATATATATATATATAATTGCTNTTAATCTGGATTTTTATCCCACTTTCTGTTTAACCATTATTCTTTTATGAATTGTTATCACGGGTAAAATCATTATTAATGGATTATCTCCTTTATATATATATATTTCTTTTTTCTATCCCTACATATTTTTGTCTTATTAATCTTCATAAATTGTACATCTGCGAAGAATGAAATTTATCGTAAACAAAAGAAAAAATTTCAAGAAAATATTAAATTTTGCAATTCCCATTTCGATAGAATTAAACATATATATTTTTGTCAGCGATAAAACTAATTTTTTTATACGAAAAAATCTATTTTAGATGATAAAATTTACCGACTTGAGACATAGCAATGCTTAAAAATTTATTGTTACGTTCTCTTCGGATATATTTTTTTAAAAAAATTCTATTCAAAACGAGTTGATACTCAAACAACAATCAATAAAAATACAATTTGTTATAATAGAATAGGTTGTAAATTAATTTATACATTGTTTTCGAAAAGAAAGTGAAAATTTACAGAGTAGAATCTAAATTAAAAATTGCTTATTTGTACAGTACAAGTAACTAATCTAGTTTCATAAGAATAGCAAAATAAACGGAATTTTAATAAAGTGAAAAATTTTTCTTGTTAGAATAATTATTTTCGAAACTAGAAAATATCAAATTTAGCCTCTGGGATGAATAAGTTTGTTAAATCTTCAGGCAACAACAATTGTATATTGTCTCATCCGCAATTTCTGACGGTGTTCTGGGCATTGTTTATATTAATACCAGAACAGATGTGTGTGGCAACTTTACGAAATAATTTACTGTTACTTAACAATAAATGTAAACAAAAGAAACGATTTAAGACATGAAAATTGTATTTTTCGAAGAAAAATTTCGATTTCCTCTGTAGCTTATATTCCTTGTGTACAAGCTGCAGATTTGGATCTATAGATTTTGTGTATAAATTAAGAAAATTTAATAATGCTCGGTTAGATTAAATCGAAAAACTTTTAATAATAGAAAACTACGCGATCAACGGTAAAAAAAGTCATTTTTAAGTTAAAATCCTATTATTTAATACACCGAACTGCCGATTATCCGAGCTAATTAGTGCACGGTTGTGCACGGAAAATCGGAAAAAAACGGATAATCCAAAATAGTCATCTAAACTGAATATATTTAAAAATAAAAAAAATATTATTCAAGGGTTCATTTCTATATGTATTATATAAAGAAATATATTTTCCTTACATTTTCTCCAAGTTTCTGTATTTTAATTTTAAGACAAGTAGGATACTTTTTCCCAAATCTGCTGTTTATAACACTAACTTCNCCCCCAATCGATATTTTATGTCTCGTTGGGATATTCTGTGGTATTTTCGTGATGAGCGCGTGATATAACAGACTCCTAACCTATCATTACTCGAAGTAAGTATTGGAATGAGCGGATTTAAAGTTTCCTTTTTTTTTTTTATTTCTTTCTTCTTTTTACATGTTTGCCTTCCCCAAAGGTTATTTCCTCCTGTCACCCTCCCTGTTCACTTAAAACTTTCCGTCTTACAGCAAGCCTTGATTCCTTCCAGGGGGTCTCTCTCTTGCCATTTTTTTTTTATTTTTTATTTCTTTTTTTTTTAATTCCGGACTTTTCTCTCTCTCCAATATTTCTTAAATTGACTCTTGCAATTTTCGTCTTTTTTTTTCCTCATTCTTTTCCCCCATTTTTTTTCTCCTTCTTCTTCTTTCCTTCTTTTTGATGTGGATTGACTGAGTTGAGAGGTGCTTTCTATTAAGCATTTGCAGCTGCCTTTCTAAAAATCCGCACAAATTTAGTTTTAATACTTCGATATCTTGAAGGTATTACATATTCTTTGTGATTAAGATAGAAAAACATTTCCGAACTCTAAAATGAATTTGTGAAATTTATCTCTTCGCTTTATATGATTCCATTTTTTTTCTTTGTTTTTTTTACATTTCTGGTTTTAGCTCTTTGTTTAAGAGTTCAAAAAGTCATAATTGCACCTTGATCTTATTTTTTTCTACGAGTTTTCATCCTATCCACAGATGATTTTTTTTACTTTTCATTAAAAAAAACTAATACCTATTATTGAAATTTCTTATCTTTTTAAAGTGTAACGATTAAAATAAATAAACTAAAACTGCTAGTGTGTTCGATCTTTCTGTCGTAATGAAAAATTTTGTAATCATTACAAGATTAAGTATTGGCTCATCATACTCTAGATAAGAGAAGGATGCGGAAGACACAATATTGAACGTTTTACTTTCAATTTTTTCTCCGGATAAAGTACATTATATTTTAATTTTATATGAATAAATTCGCGAATTTAGGAATTACGACGCATGGAAACATGCCTGGAATACAAAATTGACAAAGGATAAACTCCGTGTGAACGATCACCACAAATTTAATACTCGAGTAGCAACGCTTATAAAATAAATCACTACTGGATCAATGAGTATTTTATTATCTGCATCAAGATTAAAATCAAAGATAGATTGATATATTGTTAATCGTAAAACATTTACGTTGCCCTTCATATTACTCTTCGTTTCATCCCTTTCATCGTCTTTCATTATCAATCTTCGAAATGATCTTTTTCCAACATCTTCACATAACTCAGTACTCTTATCTTCACTTCAGATCTTCTTAATCTGGATTTTTATCCCACTTTCTGTTTAACCATTATTCTTTTATGAATTGTTATCACGGGTAAAATCATTATTAATGGATTATCTCCTTTATATATATATATATATTTTTTTCAATATAATATCTCAATTTTTTAGTATTGAAATTGCTTTAAAATGCCATAGAAATGTATGCTTTTACACTCTCAAGAGCATCAGAAGTTACCGCACAGATTACACACGAACGTGTAATAAATAAAAGTGAAAAAAAGAAACAAATAAATAGAAAAAAATCGATATTATCTTTCACTAACATTTATTTTCACTATATTCTAATTTACATCCAAAGTTTTAAACAGATATAAATAAGTGCTAACATGCGTACGATAGGCTTTATTTGATCGGAAGAGGAGCATGTATTGGAACCAAAAGTGTAAGTAGCGCAATGTTCATACATTAATGGACCGGATATCCTGTCGAGATGTTTTTGTTGAAATTCAGCTGCATCGGAACCACAGTCTTTGGAGACGTGATGATACTTGCAAAGAACGAACTCGTTGAAGGCACTGAAAGGAAAAGGTTAAAAAAAAGAAAAAGAAAAAAAGTGTCAATCAGAATCATCGATTATTCTTCTTTTCCCATGAATAAAAGTTTTTTATTATTGTATAGAGATGATGATAAATTTTTAAAATTCTCTCAATTCTGGTATTTTTCTTTGAAAATAAAATGTTAAAAATTGCGATTTCGATAAAAAATATTCCGATAACATTTACGTTGAGTAATAGTCCCGTAATGATTTCTCATTCTGCTTTATTTCTGCTTTGAATTTATTCTTTTATATATATCTAGAAATTACAAATTTATTCCCTATTTTAAAATTTAAATCTTATAAATATTAAAATTGGTACGTGCTTCTATAGTAACAATTGCAGTACAATATATTTTATGTTAATACGCTGCTTTAATAATAATAGTAATGCATATTTTTCGTATAAAATTTGCTTATTTACAAGAAGCATGTAAATAATAATTTAAAATGATACATAAAATGTTTATATATAAAAGAAGCTGTGTTATTATATATAAATAATTTGGTATGCACATTTAAATGAATCACTAAATTATTAATCACAACTCTAGTTCCTTGCGTAAATCAATGCATTAATTGATTCAGGCTTCTCAATGATCTTTTACGATAATAACTTGCAAATATTTTAAAAATTTAAATGAGCAACAACACAAAAAAAAATTTAAATAAAATCGAATTTTTCCAATTAGATAAACGAAGATAACAAATCAGGATTAAAAGTAATTCTTACCAACAGGATTTTCTTAATCCTTCTTCCACGTCTTCTTCTTTGTTCACATTTTCTGATAATTCCAACACATGTCGATATATAGGAGCGCATTTATCTTCAGATAATGATATGTTTATAAAACACGGTGCGTGACGGAGATAAGCTGCAAAAAAAAACAAAAGAAAACTTTTCTTTACTTAAATATTGTACACGCATTTTTTTATATTTATAAAATATCGAAAATTATTTAACAGTTTTAATTGTTATCATTAAAAAATATAATATAACAAATTTCGTTCTTTTATTTTAATAGCAATTTTTAATAAGCAGTACATATATTTACTTATACACGGTTAATAATTTCGAACTTTTTTNAAATAAATAAATTTATTAGGTATAAAATATACTTTAATACAATATTTTTAGGGCCGAATCTGTTAATTTATTCTGTTTAAATCTATCCAAAACTGATGGATTAATATCAAAATGAAGAGTTGAAACAGTTACTTACAATTTTGTTTCATTAGCATTTTACAATTCATGATTTGCATCTCAATAAGATGCACTACAAAATTTCATTTATTCCCCTTTCAAATAATGAAATAAATTCAAACAGATGCCATTTTGAAAATGGTGCATGAATGGAAACAAATTTCTATACAATTTCAATTTTGACAATTGTACTGTACGTTAAACCTTCCTAATCTTAATAATTTCGAGTTTTACATTCTATGAGTACGTTCGTTTGTTTGCACGTCTATTCAAAAGTAATCATCTTCTATTTCCTCTATGGAAAGCCCCATACAAATGAAAAAAAATCATGCGATATTCTCGAAACACCGAAAATAAAATAATAACGAAGTAAATTTTTATGATCTAAATTTTGATAGTAACACATTATACTTGCAAATTAGCATACAATTAGATAAATAAATTATAAATTATACCGAGTAAAGTAAATATAAAACAGTATACTATCTACTCGAGAATGGTTAAGTAGATGAAATAAATATTACGTTAATTAATTTTATTGAAAAGTATAAAACAAACAAATAAGATAAATAAATTCTAAACGTATTTAGAGAAAAATAATAAAATTCAAAACAAAATAAAAGAAAGAAAGAAAAGATTGTTTGCTGTCGAAGAAAAATAAGTTCTAAATAACATGTCAAATAATAAACAGGCATCAAATAGGAGAAGTAAAATGGCCGCTTCACAAAAATATCTAAAAAAATTAATCTTTTCCTTCAAATAGACCATATTTATTCTTTTAACTTTATGTTTAGAGCCAGCAATTGCAATTGAAATTTTCTTTCGTGAATTTATCTTTATTCTTCAAATAGTGTTTTTTTTAACATCAAACTAAAAAATAGTGCAAATTTAAAAATCTCCAACAAAATAATTTTTTTTATTTAAAAATAAAGAATATGCTATTATTTCTTTTAAACTTCTAACATTCACTTTTAAATTAATTATGTTATTTAGAAAACTAGAAACTTCAAAGTGTATTAATTAAAGTATTATAATTAATACAATACCATAGCAAGGGAATGAATTTAATGAGAATTTAGTAATATAAATCTAGAATAATTTTATTAAAAAATATATAAAATTTCTTCTCGTTCTATTACATGTTTAAATGCTATTAATTGTACTGTATATAGTATAGGCGAGAAATTATATATATTCTACAATGCGACTAATTCCACGTATAAATGTAACATTGTGTATTTGATGTATAGAATTATTGACAAGTTTAGACATTAAATACATTTTTAAGATAAAGTTGTAAATTGTATAAATAAAAAAAAGAATAACTTATTCGAGAAAAATCAGAGCTTTATCTTTTATTCATTTAAATGTGTTATATAACAATTGCGATGAATATATGCACTATTATTATTTAATAATTCAAAGCAAACTACGAAATTTAACTTGAAATCTTAAAGCTCTTTCTGAAGAAAACGTTTATTTTTATAAATTCTCCTTTACAAAATGATTTATTGTTTTTATAAATTTAAACCTTACTTTTTAAAGTTACATGGTGTTATATATATATATATATTTGTACAGTTCAAATTTCTTAAAAAGAAAGACTCATCTTCAGAGGACCAAAATTCTTTCCAATTTTATAGAGAGAAAAATACTCTAAGGAACCAATTTTTATATCAAATTCTCTCCAGCAACCTAATTTCTTATGTCAAGAGAAGTCTAAATTTAACTCTTTTCAAAAGCTAGTAGCAAAGAAAAAAATAAATAAAGGAAGAAAACTCATTTTAAAAACTGATTATAAGTACTTCTACACCATCTTGTTATTCCTTTAATAGTATTAAAGATTCAAAAATCATGTTAGAGAAAGAAAGAATAGCAAAAATCATTTTAAAAAAAACAACAAATTCTGCGTTAATATATTAAAAATTATTACAATAAAACTATATTTCGAGATTGTAATATCACATCAACACTTTTTATTATCATAATAGTATTATAGTCTGTGAAATCGATAGAACATACCTCTTATCAATTTTTTACCTGTATAATAAAATAAATAAAAAATTGTTATCTGCGGGATAAAAGCTCTTTTCTGGTGTGCAATTCTTCTATTATTAATTCAAGAAATTTCGAGTGAAAAAAAAATAAAGTAAAATATCAGCTATACACTTTCTATTTCATTATTCCTTTAATAGTATTAAAAGACTCGATGTCCTAACACTAGTAGATATACGCCTGTTTTTCTATCTTTCATCTAGTCAGAGTAAAACCTTTATAAACTAATTTTTTTTTCTATCATGTTTGAATTCCTTGTAGAATATCATTCCAGAAGGCTAAGGGAAACCGATGCTGATTGCTGTATTTCCTTATATTAAATTCTACATGTACTTCCTGAATGACACAACATGAATAGAGAAACGGTCTACGACAGGATGCTATACAATATCTTCTTCCTTTGTTATGATTCTCGAAGGAGACATTGAATGCACCTTAATCTTCTCGATCCCCCTTATCCTATATTCGATTTTGAGTTTTTACACTCGTATGGTGCATGAGTTAATTTACTTCCCCCTTCTTCTATTATATACAATATCATATATTTAATCAATAATTGTTTTTTTTTCCTGCAATGCAATTAATTGTGAAAATTGATTCCATCTATCGTACCGTTAATAGCAAATTCAAGAAATTGCATCGATTTTCTCTCATTAACTTGAGGAAGATTACTCGAGTGATTGCATATTTTATCAAAATTTATCGTTCCCAACAATAAATGTACGATTTCCTGTTTAGCAAAGTATTTCTGTGTGTCTGTCTGTAAATTAAATCCATCTTAAGCTATGAACTGCTACGTTTATCTGGATAAAATTTAGTACATAAATTTGGGCTCTTCTAACAGTCTGTAACGATTTAAAATGAGATCATATATATCAGAGTAAAATAATTAAATTGTTTAATTTAATAATACATATAAATTACTGCTTTATGTGGTTTATACTATTATTATTATAATTATTTTCTTGAAATTTACTGTTAAAAACATTCTAAAATTTAATTCAAATTCCTTTTATAATTATCATTTCGAATAAAACGAATGAATAAAATAATTTGTATTAATAAAAAAGTTAAAATTTTAAAATTAATTCTTAATTAAAAATGTACTAGGAATTTTAAATTTTTTTTTTACTTGTTAAAATAAGAAAAATATTTTATACATTGAGAAGATTTAATCATTAAGATTTTTTTAATTTATGAAGTTTCAAAATTTTTAATTTAAAAAGTAATGTATTACACTTGTTATCCACAAAACACTACATATTTTTGTTTTTTAAATTGGACAGCAAACCGACTTTTTCATTTTTAATTTAAAAAAATCTCACACGGAAAAACCATTTTGTTAAAATATATA